AAACTATGGAAACATCACCATTTTCAAAGGGTAAATCGGTAAATCAACGAACTAAATGGCAATTTTCAATAGCTATGTTAGTTTACGAGAGGGTAAATAACGAACCCTTTCCAACATACCTGGAAAAAAATCACAATTTCTCGGATGGCCATATTTCAACCTATGGAGGGGGCCGTGGAGCCTGGCCGTAGGGCCTGTTTTTGAAGCCCAAGTTTTCAGTTTCAGACCCTAATGAAAATTCCAGATCATTGAAGAGACCCTGGCATTTTTGGAGGATCTGTGACTTTGATCCTTTTGTCGTTAAGATTCATGCATTTTTTTTGACAATATGGTTCATTACCCTTGGGATGCATGAGAAGTCCAAGCCTTTTCCACTCGAAAACATACCATGTTGAAAACAACCATCCATTTTACCCGGAAGTAGTAGAAGTATATATATGCATATCCTCAAGTTTTTGAAGTTCTTGAGTGAGGGCAGCTTCGGTAGTCAAAGGATCCATTCCAACCTCCCTTTTCACAATGTCCAACTCCTCCAACGTATTGGTGGCATAGACTTGGGACAGCAGTTCACAAGGCAACAGGCCAAAAGACTTCATGAATAGTGATGAATCAACCCGCTTTTATCTATTTTAAACATATACCCATAAGTTCTTAATGTTACGAAAACTTGTTATCTCATGGGGTGCCCAAAATCCCAGACCGGAAATGTCTGCCCCTTCGACACATATTTCCGCTTGTTTTTTTTTTGAATTGTATGAACAAGTGGGTTATTCATGAAAAGTCAAGTATGCGTGGTTTTCATATGTAAATTGTTTCTCATTCATGAAAACTAATTTCCTTCGATGAATAATTAATTCCTTGTATGAACAACTCATGTCCTTGTATACATGAAAAACTCATTTCATTGTATGAAGAACACATTTCCTTGTATGTATATTTATATACATATGAGTAAGTCAGGTCCTTGTATGAATAACTCCATATATGAAAAACACATTTCCTTGTATGAAAAACGAATTCGTTGTATCTATGAACAACTCATGTCCTTATAATATATATATATATGAATAGTTAATTTCCTTGTATGAAAAACTTATTTCCTTGTATGAATAACTCATTCTTTTTATGGAGAACTCCATATATAAATGGCTCATGTCCTTGTACGACTTTCAGTAACGAGATTTGTGCAAAAGAAACAAATCAAGCCCTGGGTGAAAAGACAACCCTGATACTTAAGGATCTGTTCTTGGGGCAGGGGCTGAAATTTGATAGCTCTTGGAGGATGCAGGTATAAATATATAGTCATAAATAATGATTACATATTATGTTACATGATTTCATGATTCACTCATCTGAAAAGCATACTTGTTTTTTGCAAACAAAAACGTCAAACAGGTACTTCAAAACTCTCTGTGAGATGATGAAGTTTTGTATTGAAGCAGCCACTTTTTTGGGGGAAAAACGGTGATGTTTTATCTCTAACAGATACAACTTGAATCAAGTGATGTGAAAGAAATCGCAAAAGAAGGGACATTAAACTATTAAACCCAACCCCTGACATCCCATTGTTTAGAACATCATTTTCCTGAACAGAAATATACTATAGAATTACCATAAACTGGGGATAACTCACCAATTGTCAGAGACATTTTCAGCAACACTCCTGAACATTGGACTGCCGGGCCCTGCCTGCGCATCCTCCCTTAAAGCTTTGTGGTCCAAAAGAGGACCTGGGAATTCCGTAGCTCGACATCTTCGAGAGGCTGGCAGATTTTGTGATCGACTGCCAGTCATGATCTACAGTGTAGAGATGGTTGATAACCAACTCCCCAGTCAACTATCATATAGTATATGTATATGTATATGTATGTGTATATATATAATATTATATATGTTATATTATATTATATTGTGTATATATATATAATGTTATTTAAAGAGAGATTATACATATAAATGACTCACTGGAATGTACAATGCAAGTATTTTTATGGGATTTCCCAGCCAGGGAGGTCGTGTCCTGAGAAACATATTCCCATGGCTGCCATGGTAAACATCATATGGTTAATGGTTAATATATGGTTATTAAATGGTTAATGATGGTTAATAATAATCTGGTTGGTTGGTGGTTTCAATCCCTCTGAAACATATGAAAGTCAATGGGAAAGGGAAATAAAAGATGTTCCAAACCACCAACCAGTTTTTAGTGGTCCAATGTTCATCCTTGGTATATCTTAATATACCCATTGTAGGAAACACCCACTTAGTAAGTGGTTGACCATGTGAATAACATGGCAAACTCAAAATTAGTTCCATTAAGATATTGATGCACAACTGCAAAGCTGGTATTAAAACACGCCTTGCCTTTCTCATTTTAGGTCTTCACGCTGGTTTCAGCACTTAACATCGGATGCCAAATCAATTGTGATACGTCCCATTACTGATTCGATTGTCTCTGGAAATGGGGCTATACGGTACCCCAATTCCATGGCTGCTCTCTACCAGTTACTGTATAAGTCAATTATGTCCCAATTTGTGGTTCATGATCACCACATAAAAATGGCTATGTATTTCTATAATGTAATGAAATAACTCCTGCAACTGGGTGGTTATGTGTCATTAGAACCCAGTTCCACCCTCCGGTAAATTGACATAGACCCTGCCGTTTTTTGGGATGAAGATCAGGGTCTATGCCTGTCAATTTACCAGAGGCTACAGGATGGGACCCCAGTTCGTTAGCTAAGTTGGTGCAAAAGAATATAATAACAAGTTGGTGTATCAATACTTAGATAACTTATATAACATTATATAACTATAGTTATAATACCATATGAATATACCATATCTTTTATCAATACCATGTATGATGGGCTTAAATAAATATATTTCGATGGGGCTCATTTTCCCCAACATTTCGATGGCCCCATCCTGGCCAAGCAGCACAGGAATCGGATGAACACCTTGGATGGCAATTTTTGGATGCCCATGGATAGCCTATTTTCAGACAAAACCATAGTAGCTGGTTGGTGCTTGACCTACCCGTCTGAAAAAATGAGTGAGTAACAGTTGGGATGATTTTCCATTCCCAACTGAATGGAAAAAATGTTCCAAATTACTAACCAGGTAGTGTTCCAATATGTTCTACTCAAGAAAAGGTGAACTCTTGATATTCTCGTGTTTTTATCAACGCAACCAGAAATTAGAATTTAAGTCCGGCAAAAAGGCAATCAAAATCCACAAAGTTTCGCTGATTTCCTCCCTGAGCAGGTTGTTGTAAATGTATTTACAGCCCATCCTGGTTTAACACTGTTTCCTTTTTCGGGGCTGTGTATATATTTATATATATATATATGATTTTGGGGTTGACCATTTCCGGGATGATTCCAAATACATGAGCCTTGATTTCTGGTGAATTGGCTGTAATCTAAGCGCTCCCTTAAGCGGCAGCGAGAGAAGGCAATGCATCCTTTCGTGGGGGTTTCCATAGGGTGTATCCGAATAGCTGGATGGTTTCAGAAAAGAACATTCTATCCCAGATGCTCCATGTGTGGTATATTTACCTACATTTGGGTGATAAATTAGGGGCAAATGTTGATAAATCTTGCATACATGGAGCACGTGGGTATTATTAATGGATGAGTTGGGGGCAGCCTCATGGATTGGAAATTCTCATATCCGTGGTGTCCATATTTGTTTAGGTAGTCGTCTGGTAGCCGTCCCATGGATTTACATAGATCCTTGATGAATGGAATGTCCACTGTATCGACATGTTCTGTACCTCCAAAATGGTCCGGTATTTTGTCAGCACATATACCATACATGGAGCATACGGGACACCATCTTCCAATTTCTTTAGCTTCCCATAGGGGGAAAACGATCATGCAGTTAACTTTAAACTCTTATTGCTACTTTCTCTCAATCATATTCTTTTGCAGCTTGCGCAACTATTTGCATATAGCTATAGTAGTTATAGCTACCAGCCAGGTGAAGGTCGATTTGTTCAGACGCCAAGTCATAGTGGCTTCTCGCAAAAGCTGGCGAGATAGATAAAACAGCAGATTGAATGCCAGATATATTGTTAGTATATATGGAGGTTTCCCAAAATAGGGTTACCCCAAGCAATGATCCATTGATGGTTTTTCCGCTACCATCCAGCTACTGGGGTACCACCATTTATGGAAACCCCCATGTGTCAGATATGTCAAATAGACACTTAATGAGGCGAAATACCACAGATATCCATTTATGGAAACCCCCATATGTACTGTATCCGATGTATCCTGTAGTTGTAACTGTGGTATTCTTGTTGGCCCAGCTGCATCCACTCAGCCGGTTGCCTGCAAGATCCTGAGGCAAAGCTTGTATCCTCAGATCCCCGCGCGCCACGCAGCGCGGTGTTGTGATTTTCCGACTGCAACGAAAAAACGAGGGCATCTAAGACTTATGAGATATATTTTAAGCTATTGAAATTCAAAGTAATCAAACATTCGGATTTGACAATATCTATGCATATATATATATATTATACTGTATGTATATATATATATAATATTATATTATATCTATGAAACATAGGGATTGAACTGATTGAACCAGAATTAGGTTTGAAGTGGCGAAACCCTCCGGATCCCTCGAACCTTGCAACGGAACATCCAATTCATCTTTCGTGTGAAACTGCAAAGAAAAATCGGAGATTTGTGAGACTGCAATGTCTGTTTCAACCCCCTGAAAATTGGTATTCAACAACAAAAACAGAGATGTAACAAAGAAAGGGGATTGTGATGGGATGATAGTAGAAATCAACTGGGGAACAGTCAGTTCCCTCGAGTACACTGGTGAAGATTCTTGAAAACTCAACCCGCTCCCAAAAGGATGTCGCACCATGTCGGATGTTGTTTGATATTGGATAATCACAAAAAAAAACAGTCCACCTTGAGAAGTGTTCAAAACCAAAAACCATCCAAAACCATCCACAACCATTTTCAAAAACATCAAGAACCTTAAAAAAAAGGTGAAAACCACCACTGGTCCAAAAATGTCCAAGTCTCTGAGGTCGCAAAAAAGCGTAGGGCGTCTCCGCAGGGGGGATACCACGGGTTGTCGAGGCCGCCGAGGCCGGGTGCGTCAAGTACGGCTGCAGCGGCATCTGCAGGGTCTGCCCGCCCAAAGCGTTTGGAAGTCCTGATCGATACAGAAAAAATGGCCAGTCTGGTAGGATGGGGCCCCCAGTCGATAGCGTTCAGTTGAGATATGGCTGTGGCTGAATTCTATGGTTTATGGTAGTTATAACTATACCTAATAGAGGTTTATAAACCAACTTATGACTAGGGGGCACCATCCTGTGGATGCTCTCTGGTAAACTAACAGTTTGCTATGGGAAACCACAATCTTTCTTCGGTAAATCAACGAACTAAATGGCCATGTCCAATAGCTATGTTAGTTTACCAGGGCACACCATGTTTTTGTGAAGAAAAGGATGTTCTTAGCTGGTGAGCGGCTATATATCAGCAAAGAAAACAGCATGAAGATAGCAAGAGATTTTGTTCAATGACAATGTCAAGTAGCGGTCCAAGGTTGACCAAGAATATATCAATTGGTATGCCCTTCAGTAATTTGATATAGCTATGGAAATAACCCATTTTAATTGGTAAAAATTACCATCTGGTTATTTGTTACATAGCCATGGAAAATCCCAACCATAAATGGAAGTTTAGTTCGCTGGGAAAATCATCTATTTCTATGGGCCACCAATTTTCCATGGCTATGTTAGTCATAACCAGAGGGTAGATAAATATCAGATATTGGGGTTTCCATTTAAATCTATGGTAAAACTATATTTAACATATATTTAACATATATTTAACAGATATTTAACATATATTTAACATATATTGAACATATTTAACACCATATGTTTCCACTTAACTATATTTAACATAGATGGTCATACCATAGATAAATCACCCACATATGGACCACAGCTTGGAAACCATAGCTGAGGCTAACAGTTTTTACCTATGGAATAACCCAGCTGAAATTCCACCAAAACAATCATGAACTTCACACAAAAGGCTCAAGGCATAGGGCATAGGGCGCAGCTGCTTCCAAGGTTGAATCAAGGTATATAATTTGAAAAATGTTTGCATGACATAGCTACCCTCTGGTAACTGACAACGTGGAGATTGAAAACCCTAGATAAATGATTGATGGTGCGGTTTGATGGGAAAATCATCGAACTATTTGTTCACATGGTTGATTTTCCATCTGGAAGTTGCTATATACAGTAAATGTAAGAGTCGCTGGTGACAGGCATGCTTCGAAAAAAATGGCGACAATTTAGGGTCAAATCCCCCATTTCTAGACACCCCCATATCATCGTGGTGATTATATATCTCATTATCCCATACTTCCCCATTATATGGAGGTTTCCTAAAATGGGGATCCCCCCAAATCATCCATTTATAAATCGGATTGTACACATTTTGGGGTATCCCCATTTATGGAAACACCCATATCGCCATAAAGGAATACACATGGTTGCTTCAACCCCTACTATACCCAAGTGCCATGGCATAGCTATAACCATGGCCAAAAAAAATGTTTTGGCCCACAGCAACTATGGTGGACGGTGATAGATCCACTTTATAACTGGAACTGCACGGAACCAAAAACTTGATTCCAATTAAACCAATCAACTATTTTAACCAGCAGTGGTCGAACATTTATGCTAAAATATTTAAACATGTAATTTACGGAACTCCACGTGTAAGCATCATATTCCATTGAATAATGTTCCAGCGTGGTCCTTGGGGATCATCGAAGAAGTGGATGTGACATGACGAACCAAAAAACGATCAACCAATTCATTGATGATGACAGATATGAATATGCAGGAACATATGCCAAAATGTATGTATGTATGTATATATATATATGTTGTATGTATATATACGTTGTAATTCTATATTTACATACTAAAGAGTGTATTAATACATATTATATATATAAATATAAATATAATGTGTGTTGTAAAAAAAATATGTTGTATATACATATAAAATTCATGTTGTATGTAAATGTAAATGTGTGTTGTATGTAAGTCAATATATGTGTATATATAGTAAATAAATTAAAGAATACACGTTGTGAAAAAAAAAAATATATATATATATATACGTGTTTTGAGGGGTATAACATGATAAATATATATATATAAATATATGGTAAATAAAATAAAGATATGGATGTATAGATATATATGGTGTATGTATATATATACATATATATATATATATATTTGTAAATATAAAAAATGGTATATAGAATATATATATATAGAGGTATGTCGGATGTAATTAAAATATGTTGTGTAAATTAAAAAATAAATATGTTTTGTTTAAAATATGTTGTGGAAAATAATATATATGATTTGTATTTAAATATATATATATATTGTGTTGTATACCAAAAATGCAAATATATATATATATATGTGTGTATGTTGGATTTAAATTTAAATGTTGTATAATTATAAATGTTGTTATATATATATATCAAAAAAATGTGACTATATATATATATGCAATTTGTTGTATATATATATGTTGTATTTATATTTATATGTTGTATGTAAATATATGCTGTATTTATATTGATGTTGTATTTATATAAATACAAATACATTGTATATATATATATGTTGTATGTAAAGAAATATTTGTTGTTAGTATATATAATGCTGTATTTGTATATACATATAAATGTTGTAAACCTCAATGAATATATTTTTGTAACTATAAAAACATGTTGTATATATATATATGTTTGTTGTATAGAAATATATGTTGTATATAAATATATACATATATATATATGTTGTTTATACATACATATATATATATATTTATACACATGCAACCCATGATAACGATTCCGGCCGTTGCCTCCCAGCCATTGGTGCAAGGTGCCCGAACAGCCAATAGCTGAATAGCCTCCACTGCCACTGGTAACCCAGTGGCCTTGCCCTATCTGAGGCGCTCCTGAAGCGTAAAGGGCGTAAGCGAAGCACAGGGAAACCATCACCTTTTGTAGGAAAACAAAGGCATGTTTTGACCATGGCACATGAACTGATGTTCAATTTCACTATTATTGGTAATATTTCCATTGTTTTAATCCTATGAATCTGTCGTTTTGTTGGTTGTTATTTTTTCATCTTAAAATGATGTTTGTCAAACGTTGGTTTTGGTTGATGTTTTCAGGTTTGATCGTGTTAGTGAAACCTTCAACTGTTTGAAACTTGTTTGTGAGATCCTCACCTGTGAATGAATTTCTGCAGATTGAATCTCGAAGACAGTGGTTCCTTTAAATTCGGGATCATTTGGAGGTTTCCAATCCATGGAGGTACCCCCAAATCATCCACTTTTCTCGGATTTTCCATGGAATAAACCATCCAGCTATTGGGGTACACCCTATAGAAACCCCCATGTAATGTCCAAACAGCCACTAAAACAAGGCGTTGCTCCATGCCAAGCATCTCTGCAGATGTTGAATCTCCCTCCTGGCTGGAAAGAGATCCAGTGGGAGGATTGCAAAATGAGGGTCTCTACGTATATTGTTAAAGTGTGTATGTATAGGATGTCCTAAAATCGAGGATCCCCAAAACCATGTGTTTAAGATGGTCTAAGTACTGAAAGGGTCTAATCTGGGATGATTTGGGCGTACCCCTATTTAGGAAACCTCTGCATATATACAGAGATGAAGAGATTCATAACTGCGCACAAATGCATACATTATCCCGGCAAGAGACCCCAAACAGTGTGGGGGTGCGGGGGGATCATGTATGATAATGTTAATGATGTTGAGGATAATGAGGTGCAGGATGATGATGTTGAGGATGACGAGGTGGAGGATGATGATGTTGAGGTTGATGATGAGAATGAGGATGGTAATGAGGAAGATGAGGTGGAGGATGTTAAGGTGGAGGATGATGTTGAGAAGGAGGAAGATGATGATGTTGAGGAGGATGATGAAAAGGTTGATAATGTTGCGGAAAATGAGGTGGAGGATGATGATGTTGCGGAAGATGAGGCGGAGGTTGATGATGTTGAGGATGATGAGGTCAAGGGGGAGGAAGTACTGATGTTGAGAATGATGATGAGGAGGAGGAAGATGATGATGTTGAGGGGGATGATGTTGAGGAGCAAGACCGATCCCAAGACGGGGACCCACACTGTGTGCGAGCCTACGCAGACGAAATGCACGTCAACATTGCTCAAGAGCCATTTTATGCGGAAGTTTACAGGAAATGCCGGGGCCCAAAAGCGCGACCAACACTTTGTGCGAGCCTGCGCAGTCGAAATGCACCGAGGACGTTTCACAAAAGCCATTTTGTGCAAGAATTTATAAGTAAAATGCCGCGGACCAGCTGGAGCACCCTGATCAAGCACCGGCCTTTACTCACCGTAAGAGACCCTCATTGTGGACACGCTGTTTGGGAAATATGTAAAGGGCATATATATATATATAGCTACATCTAGAGACAGGTGTTTGTATAAATATAAATATATATATATATACGCGGATACATATATACATACATATATATATACACGGATACATATATACATACATATATATATATATGCATATATTTATTTATAGAGAGAGAGAGATGAAATCTGGTGGATGGATAAACAGATTCACCATCATTATAGGTATTGTTTTGCCATGGGAACACGGAGAAGTTCCCAGCCGAGGCATCTAGTGGGCCATTTGGATTACACGATGCATAAACAAGACATAGACATACAGAGACATAGGCATGTAGACATGTAGACATATAAGCAATACACTGGTTGGTGATTGACCTACCCCTCAGAAAAATATTAGTCAGTTGGGATGATTATTCCCAATATATGGAAAAAATATTTGAAACCACCCGCCAGATATATGCATACGTAAATCAATACATGAACACGTACATTTACCCCCAGGCCGGGCCGCCCAGAGGTTTAAGGTTTATCATTTCACCAAATCTTTGGGATTTTCCTTTCGGGTTTGTTTAGGGTTTCATTTTGGGTTTCATTTTGGGTTTTTAAGGTTTTTCTTGTACCACGGTTTTAATGAGATTTTACTTGCAAAGCAGGGTTTCATGTCAGATTTAAGTTTTTAGGGTTTAGCATTTTTAGGGTGTCGTGTTTTGGAAACAATCTCGTCAGCCATTCAGCCATTCAGCCATTCCGCCGACATCCCAAAATGCATAAAACACTAGCCCTGCGCAGTCGACACGCACTTCCCCAGGCAGCACCCCCGTCCTGGCCGTACATTTACATGTACATGCAAATATACATGCACATGTACATGCAAGTGCACACACACTAGACACTAGACAAAATTGGATCTTTTAAGTGATCCATCAGGAACTGAGTCCTTTCACATGCAACAAGAATAGTAACATTGACCTAAAGTATATCTCTGTGATGAAAACTGCGAATAATTGAGGGTCTTCCGAAAACGTCGAACGTAGATAAAACCAGAATCCAAAACGTCAAATAAATAGCCATGTCAGGGTTCTCGGCTTAGCCCTTCGCCATCTCGAAGAATACCACATAGACCATGTATGGAATAACATCGAAAATAAGCTCAGATTGCGGCGACCGTGTAAAAATGAAAATGTTGTTGTTGTTGGGGTTCTTGGCTTAGCCCCTTGCCATTGCAGTGAAAAAACGCAGGTACGCATGGCTGATCAGGCCATGTATCACCAGGGAAACCAGAGTGTCTTCCTTGGTGGTAGGTAGACTCTGGACCCTGCTACCACGCCCACACGCAGATTTTTCATTCGCTCAAGTGTGTTCGTCCTTGATGATTCTCGATCTCATTTAAGATCGACTCAGCACGGTGCTTGTGCTTAGCAAACAACTTCGCAGGATGTAACAACCTACGCATGGGCTGGGAACAAATCTGGCCAAGAGAAGTCTCATCTGGACTCTGCTGCCAGATACGATTCGGTAAATGCCTGAACTCCTCAAAAATTCGGCCGTAAGTCAGCAAAGACATGTCACGATCGTAAGCCATCATCACACGTCTGCAACACTCAGCGAATCGCTCATGTCTACCAGCATTCACATGTAAATAGCCACAAGCTCTGAAATGCTGCAAGCTGTCAGATTTGGCTGGGTGAGTCCTCCTTTCAGGTTGAACTATTGCCCGAACCAATGTGCTTTCAGGTAGTTCAGGTCCATATTGATCAATTGTATATCCAAGACAGTGGAATTGTTTTCCAGTACAGTAGAAGCTTTTCTCTTCATCGATCTGCAAACCAACCATAGCTGAAGCAGTACGACGAGTCTCATTGAACCTATCAATGTCAGCCCACCGCCTTCAGTGCTATCATCCGCTAAAGTTGCAAGAGATTCCAGATCAAATGTGCCCACATCGGCAAAATTCATGAGCTCCGCCCTGGTGCAAGAAGACTAAGTTAATAGATCCTCCACTGATTGGACAAACCCCTGCAAACTAGAAAAGGAAAAACAGACAAGTAAAACGAGAACAAGGCAGAAGTTTTACATCTGTTCAGATGGTACGCACACACACACACACGTACATGTAGATGTACATGTATGTCACATACACAAATACATAGACATATGCATGTACTTGCATATACATATACATATGTGTATAGTTGTGTATATACATATATAATAGACATATGCATGTACAAATGTGTAACATTTATTATATATACATATACATGTATATACATGTATATACATGTATATATACATGTATATACAAACATATTTGTGTATGCAAATACATATGCCCACACACACAAACACATACTTAGATATAGACATATACATGTTACATGTACATGTACATAATCACTGCACATGTGTATATATATATATATATATGTATATACATGTATGTATATAATTGTATCTACAGATTCTGGATATATAAAGATGCACACAATTACTGTATTACTGTCTGTTTGTTTCACAAAAAAACACAGCTGGGAGGTTTGTTTTGAACCGAAGCGTGCAAAAGATCCCGAATCAACCCAGGTTGATATGACTAATGTGGTTAAAACAATAATAACCAATCACTAATGGGTGGTTTATTATCATGTTTTACCCAAGCTTCATAGTGGTTAACAGTGGTTATTCATGGCTTTATGTTGGTTAAACAGTCATGATCAACTTCAACCCCATTTTTGATGGTTCATACCACCTATAAAAATTGTGATGACTGGCGGATGGTTTATGCAAGTTGCTTTAACCTTATTAAGCATGTTTAACCATGATGAACCCTTGTCAACAACATCAATACCAATGGATAGCCAAAAGTATCCCCAGGTGCCAACAATGTGATTAGTCATTGACAATAATACCAATTAAAAACCATGAGTAACAACATCAAGAACTCATTTGAGACCATAATTCTCGATGGTAATACTCATGTTCATGATGAAAAAATGTCCATTAACTATTAATCCAACATCCATTTTAGTAGTCATTAACAACACCATCCATTTTACCATCTGGTTATTTCACATAGACATGGAAAATCACCATTTTTTATAGGTAAACAACCATTTATAAATGGGCAATTTTCCATGGCTATGCTAAATAACCAGAGGGTAATGCTAACATTCATCAATAGCCATTCATATCCGGATGGCCATACCAGCGGCATCCAGATCTCCTGTGACTCGCAGATGCCGCAGATGTCTGGCTGGTCACAACGATACGAGGGATGGGAAAGAAAATCCGCTGGTGTTGGGGGTGCGATCATCCTCTCGACGCCTCGGCTGTCCGCAGTCCGCATGGCTGTCCACACACAAAAATCTATTGAAAATCTGGGGATATCAGTTCATGGAGAACAAAGGAAAATTTTGCTTATTTACCCACTGGTACACGTACCGCAAAAGTATGTATAAGGCAAAAAGTTGCGGGGATATTCCCTGTTACATGGCCCTAAATCAGATCAATAAAATAGGTTTTTATTTACTGTACATAATATATATATATATATCATATTCATATATATATATATATATGTATGTAGGTAACTCCAATAAATCGCTTCCTGAGTCATGTCATGGCCAGTATCAGTACCACTTCGTCCATCTTCGTCCAAGTCTGACCCTCCGAGATCCCACAATGGGAGAATTCCAGGATCCAACAGATGGAGCTACTAACAACGTACCATTTTTTTGGCCATATGATTTGTGGGGAAATTTTCCCTGAATTTTTTAAGCCTAAAAAATAGGCCGATATAAATCGTACAGTAGGTACCTCCAATTTAGGTTCTCGAAATGGCCATTGATGTTCTATCCACATATCTTTGTCAGGTATACGCACCAGTGTCATAAAATTACGAATTAATGAGATAGAAGTGGGATCAATAATGTCCTTCTGGTAAAAATAGCTTTGGGCCGGTTTGGTATACCATCTATCATCATTTACAGTACCTGTTGTTAAAGGGGTAAACCTTCAAACCCCTCTTTTTTAGCAACCAACCAATGGGAAAAGGACATCTTCTCGTGCCCATCCAGTGGGGAAAAAGTGTCTCAGATGTACTGGCTGTTGAGGGCCTGATTTTTGGCAACGAAATCCCTTCCTGTGTGACGTAAAATCTCCATATTTCATCATGTTTATTGGTTAAATCCCAATTTTAGGAAACAATTTCCCATGGTTCATCAGTTTACTCGGTTTAGTTTCAATCCTTCATATTTTTTCGTGGTTTAATCCAACAGTTTCGAAAAAGTCATAGCCTCGTCACTGGGTTTCGGTTCTCCATTGAGATAAGCCCCTGCGAGGTGTTCTTGGATATTACATGATATTACCCTCCGGTAAACTAACTTAGCTATTGAAAATGGCCATTTATAGTGGATTTTCCCATTAAAAATTGTGATTTTCCATAGTTATGTAAACGTTTACCAGAGGGTAAGGCATTTCGATCGAAGGATCGCGATCTCGCCAAACACCTTCCGTTTTTCTTCTGACTCCGTGTAGGCGTGAGCCTCAGCAGCGGAAGCGACGCATCGCCTGATTCTCCAGGGTCAGCTGGGCGCAACGCGAATTGTCTGCGTTGAGCTTCAAGAGTGTCTTCTGTGCAAAATCATCCTTGACCCATAGGATCCATGGTGCGGGTATATATGCTAACATTTACCATCAATATATACCAGCACCATGGATCCTATGGGTTGGTGTTCTTGGCAAGACGCCTCCAAAAGCCAGCTTTCTGACTGGCACTTCGGCTCGTCCTTGGTACCTTTGGTCCTCGATGGCGGAGCTGCAGCCCTTGTTGAAAGCAGCCCCCCGACGTTCCTTGCACTGTTCTCATTAGGGCATGTTAGTATTTAAAACCCATGGTGACTTGGGGATCCCCCATGACTTAAGATATTTAAGAAACCCCCATATCATCATTAATCACAACCATCAACCATCATGAACCATTATTCACCATTATTAATATTTTCACCATTACTATAATGAACCATTAATATGAACCAGTATTAATCATCATTAACCACAATTACCAGATGGTATTATCATTATGAACCATTAACCATTAACCCTTCTTAATCACTATTAACCACAATGAATCACTGGTTAACGATTAAATTATGATTAATAATTATCGTCACTGGAACCATGATTACCACAGTATCAACCATTATCAACCATTAGGAACCAGGTTTCATCGCCATGCGAACTGCCCTCATCGGTTGTCAACACGTCCCTTAACGCGACTCACGAAATGCCAGGCGACTCTCGTACGGAGCGTCAGGAGCCTCCCTGGCAACCACATCTGCTAAAGAAGCCAATTCGCCTGGTGGGATGTTGTCAAGATAGATGAGCCTGCTCGAGACATATGATGATGTAAATAATATTTATATAATATAATATAGTATAATAAAATAAAATTGATATAAATTGATATAATATAGTATGATATAATATAATATAATATAATATAATATAGTACAATATAATACAATATAATATATTAAAATATAATAATACAATATATATATTGTGTATATATATATATATAAATAATATAGATGTGGCAACATGTTGATTGATCACGTCGCTAGGATGATAATCCCAGCATCTCCGACGGCTTCCCCCAGTCCCCTGGAGTACCTAATTCTTTGACCATTCCCCAACACTTTGAAATGGGTACCCTCTGGTAAACTGGGATTATAGTGGTATAACCATAGGAAAACAATAGGAAAATGGAGGTTTACCCTCTGGTAATTTAATGTAACTATGGAAAATCACCATTTTTAAGAGGTAAACCATCTATAAATGGGCAATTTTCCATAGCTATGTTAGTTTACCAGAGGGTATTCTAAAGAAGGTGTGTCCCTAGATCCATCCAGCAATTTCTCCATGGAATACCAGACACATCCAGACACTTTACCCAGAAAACCGACACTTTGAAAGAGAAGCCTTGCCCCTAGGGCCATCCAGCACTTTCCCTTTAAAGTTTGCCATTTGCGCCATCCAGCACTTTCTCCAAGAAATACCAGGCTCTTTGACCAGAAAACCACCACTTCGAAATGTCACAGCACCTTTGTAAAGACAAAAAGATAGCACTGCATCATCTTAACAGGATGTTACTTTCCAAAAACTTCATTGTCGAGGTTCCCCAAAACTAGCATGGAGCTTGAAATATATAATTCTGTTTATATATATATCTGTGTGTGGGTGAATCCTGCTATCACATGCAGGCGCGAGCACATATTCATGTGTAAATCGATCTTTGACTTGAAACAGAGCAGGGGGCCACGGCTCCATTCATCAGTCCGTGGCCAACGAAGCTACTGATGTTTGGAGAGGATATGCAATCTGATCAACTGCACGTACCTGCGAGTAGAACTGTTGATTTCTGTTTCTCCATGACGCTGCTTCCTTTAAGAAGTTAGACCCTTCGTCCTGTTTCATGTAGCTGGCATGGCATCGAGCTTGTCCAGGAGCCTTCATGTGTTACACTGGTCACTGAGTCTTCATCTATTGCGCTAGCATATTCATGTGTTGCACTGGCATGGCATTGAGATCATTTAGGAGTTTTCATTTATTGCGCTAGCATGACTTTGAGCTTGTTTGGGAGCTTTCATTTGTTGCACTGGCCTGGCAGAGTGAGGGGCATTGTTCCCATATCAGCGCTCAAGGTTTTTTAGAATCAGCAGTGTCAGCCAGGCCCCTAAGGAATTTTCAAGGCGTGAATGAGATCAGCCAAAAGACTTTCCACTTCAAACCCAATTCAGCAGTGTGTGTGTGTATACACTCATGTATATGTATTTCTCTAAGATGTGTATATACATATAATGTGTATGGTGCGTGTGTGTATGTATATAGTATTATATATAATATAATTATGTATATACGCTGTGTGAGTGTGTAATATCCGCCTCTCCACATGTATAAAATGTGTATATACCGGTGCATATATCTGACCAACTTCGTTGTGAGATCACCAAGCAGCGATCTCGAGAGATAGGTCTTAAGACGGTGACATATGGATAGGAGGACAAACAAGTGATATTGGATTAGATTATACTGTATATATATATGTATAATGTAGTATAATAATATATATATATACATATAGAGAGAGGAGAGAGAGTTAGACAAAAAATAAACTAGGTTATATCATTCTCACTGATGGTATAAGATGGGTTAAGATGGGTGTATGATCTACTGATGTTGAAAGGTCAACTAACAGACATGGTTTGTGACCAACAATGGGAATGTTGACCATGAACTAAAAGACTAGTCCAATTTCCCGCAGGTGTGTCGAGGTGGGTCAACACCTGTAAAGCCACGACTGCAGCATCGGTGGCCAACGTGTTGACCCCCAAATATAGATGGAAAAGGTCTAAGAGTCTAAGTCTAGTTCATCACTGGTTTTAGGATGATTTTAGGATTGGAATCATTTATCACTTAAAAAAACAAATGGATTATGGAAACTTCTGCATCTTTGTAAAACAAAGGGGTTGCTGGTAGGATTTACCCACGGCTTCGCCATCAATTTTCAGGCCGTCAATGCGGTTACAGTTGAAGTTGGAAGATGGGAAGATATTGAAATCATACCCTGCAGATAACTGGCCCAAAACACCAGTTATAACTGGTGATTTTGATGGGGTTATCATGAACCATAAATAAATGGCGGTATAACTTGCCTTATAAGTGGTAAGCCAGGACATAACTTTAAAGATTAGCCATTAGCAACAATGGGAAGCAACATGAAGTACTATCAACACCAACATCATCATAAGATTCAGATTAGTCAAACATTGGGAGTCTCCAAGAAATCGCCCACGCTGGCTAAATCCCAGTTCTTGCTCCAAAGGAAAACAAACCAGAACAACTTCATGGCGCAAACATCATTGACGCCAAGAACAGGGGTCCATGTCACCATGTTTAACCGCCAGCCAAACATAGAAATTTTTATATTTCCATTGAAGATCATTGAGTTTCCATTCAAACACGGTATTCTCCGTTGCGCCTTCCCCAGATTCAGATTTTCCCATCTCGCCTCCGTTGAAGACCAAGGGAGCATCTGCGTCGGCGAGTCCAGCTTGACCGCGTTTGGCCAAAATCGCTCGCAGATTTGCGCCTAAACGCAACACAAAGATGGTGATGGTGATGTTTCACCCTGGGATTTCAGGATAACAAGAATGATGCTATCTCATGGGGATATTAAATGATCTGATATAGGGATGTATAATGGGATACTTAACGGAATCGTGGTTGATATAACGATCTACCCCTCCGTGTCCTCAAACATGGCTGGGAGATCCAGCCAACTAGCAATGGTGCTGTGGCTTTCGGGCCACGGGAACTCTCCCAAGTCCGACGTCTCGTAAAATTCGGTCCCAGTGAACCAAACTAGACGACGGATGGCCCGAGAGCGTAGAGGAGCAGGGTCTTCTTGTTAGTATGCAGACACTATATTACAAAACAATATATTAAAGATTTGTTATAGGCAGTCGAGAAGAGGAGTATCAAGACAATATAGCACAAGTACAAGACAATATAGTTTGCATTGCAAACACTTTTACACACAGAAGCTTTTACACAGAGCAAGCTTTTACACAGAGAACCCCTTACACAGAGAAGCTTTTACACACAGAAGCTTTTACACACAGACACTTTTACACACAGACGCTTTTTACACACAAGGCACTTTTACACACAGACACTTTTACACACAGGCGCTTTTACATACAGACAGTTTTACACACAGACGCTTTTACACACTGTTGCTTTTACACAGACGCTTTTACACACAAAGCTTTTACCCACAGAAGCTTTTACAGACAGAAGCTTTTACACAGACGCTTGCACACACACACACAGACGCTTTCACACACAGACGCTTTTACACACAGACCCTTTTACACACAAACACTTTGACACACAGACACTTTTACACACAGACGCTTTTACACACAGACGCGTTTACACACAGACCCTTTTACACACAGACACTTTTACACACAGACGGTTTTACACACAAACACTTTGACACACAGACACTTTTGCACACAAAAGCTTTTACACACAGACGCTTGCACACACACACAGTTACACACAAAAGCTTTTACACACAGACGCTTTTACACACTAACACTTTTACACACAAACGCTTTTACACACAGACACTTTTACACACTAACACTTTTACACACAGACGCGTTTACACACAGACGCTTTTACACACAGACGCTTTTACACACAGTTACACACAAACGCCTTTACACGCAAACACTTTTACACACAGACACTTTTACACACAGACGCTTTTACACACAGACGCTTTTACACACAGAGACGCGTTTACACACAGACGCTTTTACACACAAAAGCTTTTACACACAGACGCTTTTACACACTAACACTTTTACACACAGACGCTTTTACACACAGACACGTAAAATCGCAATTTTTCCTCAGTTTTTGACGATCGACCCTCATTTCGTGCGAAAGGGTTGCTCGGGGACAAGTAAAATCGCAATTTTTCTTCAGTTTTTGACGATCGACCCTCATTTCTTGCGAAAGGGTTGCTCGGGGGCAAGTAAAATCGCAATTTTTCTTCAGTTTTTGACGATCGACCCTCATTTCGTGCGAAAGAGTTGCTCCGGCCTCACAGTTTTTGACGATCGACCCTCGTTTCGTGCGAAAGAGTTGCTCCGGCACAAGTGAAATCGCAATTTTACTTCAGTTTTTGACGATCGACCCTCATTTCGTGCGAAAAGGGGTTGTCTCGTGAGTGGACAAGTTCAACAATCTCACATTTTACCACCTCATTTTTTTTGCCGATCTACTCTATCAACCCCTAACCTTCCAATCAAATATCGTGCGAAAGAGGGGTTGCTCTTTGGGCAAGTAAAATTCGCAATTTTTTCTTCAGTTTTTGACGACGACGAACGAAAAAACCTTCATTTCGTGCGAAAGGGTTGCTCGGGGGCAAGTAAAATCGCAATTTTTCTTCAGTTTTTGACGATCGACCCTCATTTCGTGCGAAAGGGTTGCTCGGGGGCAAGTAAAATCGCAATTTTTCCTCAGTTTTTGACGATCGACCCTCATTTCGTGCGAAAGGGTTGACGTTTCGTGACTCGCCGCCGGCACCACCCTCGGCCTTAAGAGAGAAAGATAAAGAAGGCGAGAGAGAGAAAAGGGAGAGAGAAAGGAGAGAGAGAAAGGATCTCTCTCCCTTCTCTCTCTCCTTCCCTCTCTCCCCTTCTCTCCCCCTCTCCTCTCTTTCTCCTTGTTTTCTCTCTCTCCTCTTTTCCTCTTCTCCTTTTTTTTCTCTCCTTTTTTCCTCTTCGCCTTTTTGGAGAAGTGTGAAGATGAGCAGATGTGAAGATGAGCAGATGTGAAGATGAGCAGATGTGAAGATGAGCAGGTGTGAAGATGAGCAGGTGTGAAGATGAGCAGGTGTGAAGATGAGCAGATGTGAAGATGAGCAGATGTGAAGATGAGCAGATGTGAAGATGAGCAGATGTGAAGATGAGCAGATGTGAAGATGAGCAGATGTGAAGATGAGCAGATGTGAAGATGAGCAGATGTGAAGATGAGAAGATGTGAAGATGAGAAGATGTGAAGATGAGAAGGTGTGAAGATGAGCAGATGTGAAGATGAGAAGGTGTGAGAGAAGGTGTGAAGATGAGAAGATGAGATACAGACCCCCACTATTGGAAGAACCCTGCGCTCAGACGCTCTCGGGAAAAAAACAACACATTTCATGACAATGATTGGGACATATGGAGGTTTCCGAAAATTTGGGGTACCCCCAAATCATCCATTTTAGGAAACCATATTTCGGACCACGGCGGACTTGATGACGACAAACTTACATGGATTGTGGAATGTTATGGAGGGTCCAGTACATCAAAACTGGCAATTGAATAAGAGCTTCGGGATATCATGGTTTATGACCAACTATACTTGATCCCTTGCCCCATTATGACAGACACACCCCCAAGAAACTCGCGATCTCTAAGGATGAAATCGATCATTCGGATTTATGGTTTGATTGGAAGTTCCAAGAAAGATGAATGACTTGAGTGGGCCACCACAGTTAAGGCCCGAAATACCAGCTAAAAATAGTTCTAAATGGTTATCAATGGGGTTATCATTCCATAAATGGGATTATACCTTACTTAAAAGTGGTAAGCCGGGCCATAACTGCACCAACTATGGCCCACTAAAGTCAGCAAAAGGAAAGTTGAAGGGTTTCAACATGTTTTAATCTTGGCTGACTTTCTAAATGGCCAAATTAGTAAAAGTCAGCCAAACCAATACTTGGCCCTAGTTTTGATTTCTGAATGCAATTTCTGTTTAACATGTTTCTTTTTGTCGTCACCAACTGTTTGCCAACCACTACTTCAACCATTTCCGTGACCCCCACCACAAAAATGGGAAGTTAAAAGGACCACTAAAATCCACTAAACAACATTTCCGTTTGATATGCTTTATCCTATCTGTTTCCCATTTATTTCAAGGCCCGAAGGGGCCCCATATTTGACAAACATCCATCAGTTTCTCCATGGTTATTCCATACATGTCCCATAATTTCCCATATGCACCATGCTTAAAAACTGCATGTGTTACACCCTTATTGAGGGATGATCATACCACCATGAAAAACATGAATTACAATGGCCATTTTTTCGGAATCCCAATCATAACGAGAATAACCCACGATGTTTTCACTGTCGTGCAAATATCATTGCAGGGACCGATTCTCCCATAGTTTCCCCAAAAAAAACTACAAAATAATGTAATTCCCCACACAAAAAACAACAACTTCAAATCTTCCAACATTTGCCCAAGGTCTTCCAACATTTACCCAACATGTTCCAATTGTTCCAACATTTACCCAGGATTTTCCAAGGATTTTCCCAAAGTCCTACCTCGGCCTTGGATCAACGCTTGTCCCACTGAACGGATTCCATACCTGAACGAAGAGTTTGGAACCTAACCTGGAAGATAGCCATTGGTTAATCATCATTTTCCCTATTTTTAAAAAAAAATCAATGTTGTCGGGATTACCCTCTGGTAAACTAACGTAGCTATAGAAATAACAATTTTTATATAATAGGTAAACTATCTATAAATGGGTCATTTCCCACGGCTATGTTAAATAACCAGAGGGTAATACCCATTCTTTTCTAGTGATTGCCCTATCAAGTCCTACGCCAGCATGTGCACACGAATCGGATCCGCGGTTTATAATCCATTAACCCCATATATCATTCCATATAGTGGGGATATTCCATATATCAGTTGCTTTTTTGTTTGAGACATTTACGATGCGTGGGGCCCGCATTCCCTCAAAAATTGTCTCTTGGGATTTCATGGTGACTCAACCAACAATCGTGATGTTTCATGGGATCTTATGATTTGATGTGATTAAAAACCATCAAGAATGAGGATTTTGATAGGAATACACTAAGGAAAAACAGATACAATCTAAGAAAATGCTGCTGTTTGTAGACTAGATCTGGGTAAATTGCAATATATTGTAATATAACTCACTTACCTGAAATAAGAACATGTCGGGACTGTTCACACATACTAGCCATGTGACGTCGGGACGTCAGGTCGTTATAATTCATCCAGGAGGGTACCGTATATATATATATATATATAAATCATCGTTATTTGTACATTATATATTCACTTACATATTCCCTAATCACTAATAAGTGAAGATAATTTCATATATTCACGTTTTCATATTCACTAGTCACTAATCTTGGGTATATCTGAATACCTATAAAGTGATTGGCGTATATATTAGTGAGCCTATACCTAATAAATATCTAAAAACATACATATAGAGTACAAATACAGTATGTATATACATGCATATACTTACGATGCCGTTTTGTTTCATACATATAACCAGAGTTCAGTAATATCATGCATGACAAAACTATATATATATATATGGGTAATTTATAATATTTCACTAATACTAACCTGAATTCAGGCCATTTGGGGATGATTCCCCTCACTAACCATGATTTCCAGTGAGGTTGCAGTGAGGTCGTTATAATTTACTCAGAGTATATACATATATATATATATATGTGTGTGTGTTTATTTCAATGTATTTAGGTCTAATTTCACTGTAAATGGGGCTGGTGTTTTAGGTCTAGATCCCATATATAGATATGTATATATACATATATATATATATATATATCTATCTTTCATGGATAAGATGTAGTAGTTTGTTGGAGATGGGATAGTAACCCTGGCTCCTGATAGCCTGGAAATCGCCTGGAAATCCTCGGACAGTGGGAATATGAATACCCGGTAGGCTCCGAACCACCCCCTCCTGACTACCAGATAGTATAATAGTAAATGTATATATATATATACACACTATATATATATATAATAACACATATATATAATAACACACATATATATATAATATAATGTAATTTTTATATATCATATAATATGTATATATCATAATATATATATATCATAATATATATATATATATCATACGTATGTTTTATACATATACATATGTCATATATGTATATGCGACATACGTTCATGATTGTGTGTTTGTTTGGGATTGATGTGTACAATCTCCTGTCCCAGAAACTTGGGCTCCCGGAGATACATCAACCATCGGTCTAGCCACACACATGAAAAAATGGTTGGTGATATTTTGTTAATATTGGATGTATGAACCCAACATCAATATTAACCCAAGATATATCACTCAATCATATATTCTTTTGGCCACTCCAACCATCAATAATAACCCAAGCGATCATCGGCTTGATGTTTAGGTCACTAAAAAGCGTTGAACATCCCATCGTCCCATGAAATATGCTGGTTTCAACCATAAATGCTCCCTTCATCCAATTCTGGGAACAGCGCCACAGCTACTCTCCCTCCAACGATGCTGCTAAACCAGATTGCGGCTCCGATCATGTTTTTTGTATTTTAGTAATCCCCCGAAATATGGGAACCGTATATTTTTGAACTACCCTCTGGTAAACTAACATAATTATGGAAAATCACCATTTTTAATGGGTAAATCAACTATAAATGGCCATTTCAATAGCTATGTTTGTTTACCAGAGGGTATGTCAGTAGGATTTTGGGGACCATGATTTGTTGTTGGTGACTGTGGTAAACCCGCAACCTATCAACGGGGATGGTTTGAATCCGCACCACATGACAGTCATCACTGGCCCTCCAGTAAGCTTCATGGCTGGAAAAACCACCGTTTACAAATGACAAATGATTTTGTCCATTAGAATATCATTTATATAAGATTTTCCAGCCATGTTTGACTACTGGAGGGTACACAAGAAAACGAACAAACATAAGGCGGTTATATCCCAACTAGCAAAATCGCCACGTTTGATGACACACTGTCCAGGTGTCATTAATCATTGATATGGAAAAAAGGTTATCACATTAATATCATATTATATTATCTCCTTGTAAAATCCCCAAAAATCCCATTGTTATCATTGTTTTCGTGGATGTTTTATTCCCAGTTGCGTTCCAGGCTCCCCATCAAAACCCGTTTCGGTCCATCCCGTAGCGTGGATCTCCAGCTCGACGGACCCGACGGACCGACAGACCGAGGTGCGTCAGAAGTTTCTTCCGATTGGAAGGCTTGTGGAGGGCATCCAAGAAGGTTTTGCAAAATTGGTGCGACTCAAAATTCACAAACCTGCCAACGATAGGGGAAAGGTGTTGGAAGGTGAACCATCAGTGAAAAAAACACGAAAAAAATGGTTGCAGCATGATTTGTTCTGGTGATATGTTGGTTATTTGAGACAAGCGGATGAACTGGTAACCTTTGACCAATCAATGGGAGCATCGTTGAGGGCGCCTTGCGGCGTCGTTGGTATTGGTATTGATATTGGTCATCCACTTTTTGGGGTACTAAAAAAATCATGGCCAAAATGGTGATTTAAGCAACAAAAAAATGTGATTAACCAATATTAGACAAGCATTGCCCATTTTTTGAAGCTAATTAGTTTAATTTCTCCGCAGACTCAAGTGCTAAACTATCTATCCAAGGTTGACTCAGTTTGGCGCAATCTGCCCAACCAGCCCAAGGGTGCAGCATCCCCCAAAAAAACAACTGACCTGAAATATCATACTACAGTACATCATTGCATTTCTTATCATGTGCATGTGCTATAAACAAACTCATACTACATTATACCAGTCGTTAAATAGCGTGCATTGCATACCATATATATATATATGCTATGTGTAGATTCCGGACATACGTATTATCGGGCTAAACTGTAGTAAATCGGCAACTTCAAACACGGCCGTCTGGGGAGACTTACCCATGACGAACAATTGCTTCTGGTGACGTCGCAATGAGGTCATTATAACATACAGCATTTGGATATTATGCATCATCTAGTTTCCAATTCCATTCCTATTGTATACCCAACAAAATACCCATTACATACCCATAACATGTATATATATAAATTATATAGATGCATACCACTATATGTATATATTTTTGTATATAGATATATTATATATATATGCATACCATAATATGTATATATATATATACAGATATATTATATATATATATACATATACATACATACATCTATTGGGTATACACCCATTATCGAAGGAAGTTTAGAAGTCAAACTTCCGACTGGACAGATGAAAAGCAGAGATGGGAAGAGTCAGAGAAGAGAAGAGAAGAGAAGAACAAAGAAGATCAAAAAGAGAAAGTCTCCGAAGAAAGAAGATCCAGGTGCGCGAAAAGGTAGGAAAGTCGCGAAACACTTTGTTTTTCCAATGATTTGTGGCTCCAGAGGGTCGAAAAGTAGGCTCGCTAAAGCGGTGGGTGCGGAGCCATGTGGTCAGATGAGAGATGAAAAGTTGCACGCCGTTCCAAAATTGAGGAAGTCTCGCAGAATTACTTCGTTTTGGATGTTGTCAAGTTGAAAAATTGAGGATGTGTCGCAAAATAGCTGCGTTTTCAAGCTTGCAGATAGACAGTCAGATAGATAGATAGATAGATGGATGGATGGATGGATGGATGGATAGATAGATAGATAGATAGATAGACAACAACAACAACTACTACTACTACTATTATTACTACTACAACTACAACTACAACTACAACTACAACTACAGCTACAGCTACAACTACAACTACACTACTACTACAACTACACATGCACATATGCTATGCTACATTAGACTACACTAATTCCACTACACTACACTAATTACATCTAATTACACTGCACCGCACCAATTACACTACAACTACAACAGCTTCTAATATCACAGCTACAACTACAACTACAACTACACCACATTACACTATACTGCACTAATTACACTGCAGCACCCTACAACTACAAATACAAATGCGACTGCAACTACATTACATTAGACGACACTACACTACACTAATTACATTACACTACAACTACAACTGCAACTACAATTGCAACTGCCACTAAATTGCACTACAGGACACTACACTCATTGCACTACACTACACTGCAACTACAACTACACTACCTTACACTACACTACACTATACCAAACTACAACACACAACACTACAGTGCACTACACTAATTACACCACACCACAGCTACAACTGCAACTGCGACTACACTACACTAATTACACAAGGTTACAACTACAACTCCACTACACTACACTACGACTACAGCTACAACTACAACTGCACTACACCACACTACATCCAGCAGTTGCGGTGAGGTGACCACTGCAAACAATGCAACCACTCCAGAAAACACAACTCCAACCACCTGGCGGTCCATCAGTGGATTCGCTCTGCCATCCGTGATTCACAAAAAGCAACCCTTCCTATAGGTTTCCGATTTTTGAAACTTCCGCCATCGCCTTGTGCGGTACTACTGGTACACATGTTATTTCCCATTGTGACACACCCATTATGTACCCATTACATATACTATCCCGATATAATCTGTATATCAGTATATCATTTATATACCATCTTATGTCCTCTCTAGTCTATCATGCTATCCTCATATTGTTATACATATTATTGAATACTCATAATGGTTGACAAAATATATTAATCCAACCAACATATCCATGAATATTGATACTTAACATTCATTAAGGGAATTTTGTCCATATCTTCATCTATATATGTATATATATTATCCCCAATCCCCAAACAATTTGATATATCCCGTTAAATATACTATTCAAGATTATCCCGTATATCTGGGTAAATTATAATCATTCACTAACCTGAAATAAGGCCATTTTGGGATGATTCCCCTTATTAACAATGATTCCAGGGCTCGGGAGAACAATGAGGTCGTTATAATTTGCCCAGATATATCCATACTTCCCATTAAAAAAATCCTTTACTATATCCTCAACACACGTCAACACGACGATTCCCAAGGCACGCAAGACCAATGTTGGAAAGAGCATTGGTGGCCCAGGGCACATACCTTGCGCCAGCTGTGGGGGGTTTTCCATGATCCCCAAATGGTGCCCAGTTATGTTTCTTGGTTTGCAATGATTATTTCATATAAATATGAGGTTTATGGATTTTCCCATCTAAATATAGCTGGTTGGTGGTTTTAACCATCTTGAAAAATATTAAATATTGGTCAATAGGAAGCATTATCCCATATATTATGGAAAATAACAAATGTTCCAAACCACCAACCAGATAAGTATTTATAAGTATTTATAAGTATTTATAAGTGTCATGCACCAGCTTGTTATAACATAATTATAAACTCACCAACTTAGCGTTCACGAACTGAGGCCCCATCGTGCAAAATACTTGGTTTATAATAGACATTCCGATGAACATTAGGATGATTTAGGGGTAGCACCATGACTTAGGAAACCTCCATATCTTGGGAATTTGAAGGAATCATTGGGAATAATATCATCAGACATGCCCATTTGAACATTGAAAATTTGGTTTTGACCAACAACAACTGTCGGTTTAACCATTGAAAATGAGATTTTAGCAGCAGAGAACGGGATGATCACCAACAACATATGAGGATGGTTGAGTGTGGCCATGCATTCCTGATGCTGTTTGGGTTTGATAATCTTAGTTACTCAACAAACATCAATAAAACTAAGTCTTTAGCTGGTTAGTCTTGCCAAACATAATCCTAATTTTAGATACAAATCAAAACCCCCAAAGAAATAGAAAAGTCGCTCACGACTATTTCAATGGGATTTTGTTCTATCATTTTGGGGGGTTACTATAGAATATTCTCCATTTAAGGCACCAGCGTCGATGTTGATCCATCAAAAAATGGGGACCTGAAGCATCAACACTTGTGTTTTACTGAAAATGAAGGTTTCCAATCCATGGGGCTACCCCTAAATCATCCATTTTAGTAGGTATCCCCCATTTATGGACACCCCCAAATCTGGATTGTCGGATTTAGCTTGCTTTATGGTGACTATAATTCAATGGGGTTAGCATCACTAACCTTCGAAGTGCCTTGCCAAAGAAAGCCATGTCTTAAAGATATGGGGATTTAGTGGGAATTATAACCGTTATATACTATCTGGGAAAATTGGAACGGTTATATAATGGAAATTATTATGGTTTTCCTGGTTGTTCTACAGATTTAATCATGGAATTGACTCGGCATATCCATAAATGCATACATGCACTTTAATTCTTTCACGTAGTGCAATGGAAAATCAACCTCTTCTAATTCACGATAAATCCTCATAAATCATCTATTTCTATGGGCCATGGCTTCCAGTTCGCCAGTTCGCCAGTTCAAAATGTAGCATGTTTGTAGCGTATGTTTGTCGCCTGGGGGTCATCCGACTGAGTGAATCAACCCATGACATTCTGGTTGGTGGTTTCAACCAACCCCTCTGAAAAATGATGGAGTGAGTAACAGTTGGGATGATGACATTCCCAATTAAGATGGAAAGTCATAAAATTCTTGTTCCAAACCACCAAGCAGCATTTGTATATCCCAGAACCCCAAGTGGGGATATGTGGGGATGGTTTATTGGGTCTGACTCGCTACCTACGTGCTGCTTCTGGGTTACAAGCTGGTCTCTAACCTCATCGATACTTCATTCATCAGCATAAACCCCAATTGTAAGCCCTCTAATTACTAAGACACTAAGATGATGATAAACTAATAGTGATAAAAGTTACTATCACCAATGAATTTATCACCAATGATGGTAGTGATTATGGTGCTATGGTTTATCATTTTTCCACGTTGCCCACGGCTGCTGCACCTCATACGTGTCTCACATTCGGCCAAAAATGGCGCAGCATAGAGCTATGCCGTTCTGACCGTATCATATTGTCTATTAGAAATGAGGAGTCTAGGGCTGAAACTATCATTATTGTTATAAACTAACTATAGCACCAATGATGGAACTCTAATTACTTATAATCACCATCAACGCCACTTTTTTCAGAGTGACCCGTTTCTCTAAACGAACACTTCGATCCCTGATCAACCCGCGTCTCGGCTTCACGGCGAGATGCACAAAGTCGTAAGCTCGTCGTCCAACGAAAGGAGGAAATCCGTCCCTTGGCGAACAAAACTGTGGAAATATATAGGTATACCTATATACCCATTATACATAACCTATATATAACCCATATTACCATAACCTATACATGACTGTAGGAGGGAAAACTGTATAATGGGTTATGGTAATTTAACATAGCTATGGAAATCCACCCAGTTTAATAGGTAATTCATTCATAAATGGTTCATTTTCCATATGGTAATATCCCCCCATATCCCCATTCTGATTGCTGTAATATGGCTCAAATGCATTGTTGATGCATATGTCCATCACATTACTGTGCAGGATGGGGCCCCAGTTCGTGAACGCTAAGTTGGTGCCAATAACTATGTTATAACAAGTTGGTGTATGATACGCAAATCTCTATTTTTAGATGGGGTTATAAACCAACAAACAGAACTGGGGCCGCAGCCTGTAGACTATATTCTAATATATGTTAGGTCATATTGTCATATTACATTATTCCATTATCTCTAGACATACCTACCATATACGTGTTCCAGATCCTGGGTCCTGCAAACATCCCAGGGGAGCTGGAAAAACACGTGGCAACTCTTGGCATAGAAAGAAATCCGAAAACTAAAGCATTCCAGCCAAAATGATCAACATGTTGGTTTCACGGGGGAATGTACAGGAATATATCTGGGCAAATTATACCCTCTGGTTATGTCACAGTTTGCTATTGAAAATTGAAAATGGTGATTTTCCCTAGTTTTTTGTATGTTTTCCAAATGGTAATGATTCACCTTTTTGGCATGATTTCTTTAACATAAACCATGATTCCAGGGTTCGGGAGAACAGGGTTCGGTCGATATAATTTACCCAGATCATTATACCATATATTACCACCCTGGACCATCCTTTGATCATTGAGATGGAGTTGGCAGGAAGAGAGTCCTCGATGGGTTGCATCCACACAGTGATGCCATCAATCAGCTTGGGATTGTGCACGCTGCAAACCGGAAGCTCTACCCCAGCAATCTCACTATTCGTCTCGAAGCCTTTGGCGAGAATCAGCCGGAGAAGATTTCGGAACTGCTCCATGAGGACATAGCCCTTGTTGCCACATTGGCGCTTCCAACTGACCATGTAGGGTCTCAAGCAGACTCGTATATTACCATATATTACCATATATTACCATATATTACCATGTATTACCATATATTACCATATATTACCATATATTACCATATATTACCATATATTACCACATATTACCACATATTACCACATATTACCATTATATCACTACCATATATAATCCAATCTTTGATGGATGGCTTTCCCCATTGAAATTCCATTGTTACCCAGATATATTGATGAACGAATGGACGGAGCCGAATATCTTGGAGGATCAACACCCCATTCAGAACTATCAAAACATGGCCGTATAATTCACCATCATTTCGGGGTTTAAACCAACCACAAAAGGTTTAAAACATGGTTTATTATTACATATTATTGCCATGCTAATAGTAAATCAACCAAAGGTTTATGGTCGGTGCCGGAATTATAGAACGGAAGTTGAGGAGTACGAAGGTACGGTTATTTACCGTACCCTGTTGTTCTATAATTCTGTTTTCCTCGGAAGGTGTGAAAAAAAAACGTATCTGACTTTACTCCTAACTTTTTTCGTCGTTCTATAATTCTTGTCGGGGCGCTGCTGTTCTATAATTCTGTTTTCCCCCATTTTTCTCACATTTCCCATTTTCGTTCTATAATTAATGTTTCCCGGGCCCCGTTCTATAATTAATTTTTCCGTCGAACGGAAAAATTAATTATAGAACGGAAAAATTAATTATAGAATTATAGAACCTCTTCCGGGGTCCCAGAAAGAGCTGAGCAAACTGCCTTTTTTCCATCCCCTCAAGACTTGTATTGTAGCAGATCGTGCCGTATTTAAATCCTGATTAAATCCTCATTTTATTTTACATTTTATCCTTATTTTATCCTCATTTCCTCATCAAATCCTCATTTTATCTTCATTTTATCTTTATTTTATCCTCATTTTCTCATCAAATCCTCATTAAATCCTGATTAAATCCTCATTTTATGTTCATTTTAGCTTTATTTTATCATCATTTCCTCATCAAATCCTCATTTTATCTCATTTTATCTTTATTTTATCCTCATTTTATCCGGGGTAATTTAATTATAGAACGGGGTAATTTAATTATAGAACGGGGAAATTTAATTATAGAACGGGGAAATTTAATTATAGAACGGATCCCCGTTCTATAATTAAATTTCCCAACTCCGCGCGGAATCGGAACCCGGAGGAGTACAAAGGTACGGTATTTTACCGTACTTTTGTACTCCGGGCTCCGTTCTATAATTCTGGCACCACCTGTAAAACAAAAAAAAACTAATTATTTGTAGTATATTCTTACCATGCAATTACCATTATAATCCACAGTGACTGTCATGTTAGTAGCATCCCATCCCCCATAAAATGGGATCACCGGTCAAGTCATTATCCAGCCGTTGGGCCGTTGAGGGGTCATTGTTGTCCTTGGTGGGGCCTCACATCAACTAGTGAACTGCCGCATCATATGATCACATGGAACTGATCAAATTTGTGCATGTATCTCTATCTATACATTATATATATATATGTATATGTATATATATATATGGTTGGTGGTTTTGCCAAAAAAAAACATACCAGTCAGTAAAAACATGAAACCACCAACCAGATCTCATATTTATATGTCTACGACATATGCATGTGTCATCATATCTCTGGGCAGTTTGTCATATCTCACCAACCTGAAAAAAAGCTATTTGGGATAGCTACCCTTCTTAACCCAGATTTTCGCCCAGGGTCAGCAATGGTAAGATCGAGGTGTGTGTGACCTGACGATTGAGGCCTCTCATGATGAGCGTGGTTCCTCCCGGCTCCTGAGCTAAAAAACAAGGAATTCATGGGGATCCAACGGAATGAATATATATATATATATATATAAACAAAAATATGTATGTAAATAAATATATATATATATATCATGGGATTTACATATGTATATTAATGTGTATATATATATATATATAATCAAGAAATATGACGGTTAGGCGGCTGGGATGTACGGACCCCATGACCGTGGCTAGGGGCTGTCCTGTTGTCCAGCTATTAATTTTGGGAATGTCTGTTTCAAAGTTGGTAATTAACACAGTGTAACCCAGCTATAAATGGGATATATAATATTATATAATCACCAGTGTTTTAAGGTGGGCGGACATACCCAAAATGTAAGCTGCATGTTTCAAGGTGTTGATATGGTGTCCCACCCTGAAAAGTAGCCTTAAAGGGATGGAGATGATATATAAACGATTGTATGTATATAATGTAATGTAATGTAATGTAGCGTATTGTAGTGTAATGAAATGCAATGCAATGTAGTGCGATGTAACGTAATGTAATGGAATGTGGAATGTATGTATGTATGTATGTATGTCTGTATGTCTGTATGTCTGTATGTCTGTATGTCTGTATGTCTGTATGTCTGTATGTATACACGTACATAATTATTCAATATTTCACTTAACATTCCTGAGATGTAACCACATGAAATATCCCAATTATATATGAGATACTTTCATCGCCTTTTCTTGTTGCTTGTCTGGTGTTTTGGACAAAGATGCCAATAAAATCAAATGATTATCCCTACGGTTATCGCTAACTAGCACTGGGATGCACCCCCCATGAAGCCACAACAAAACTGCCACGGAGATATGATGGAAATGACATGAAATGACGTAGCGATACGTAGCGCACTGGCCAGAAATGTGAAGTTAACCATGAAGCAAGTTCAGACGATCATCCCCAAGTGTGAAAAGCTGTTTTTTCAAAAGAAGTGAAACCAAAACAAGAAGCAGCGACTCGAAAATCTATAGAAACATCGAATCATCCAGAAAAAAATCATTGAAGCTTCCGTGAAGATCCATCGAAAATCCATCGATTTTACACAGAACAAATCCCTGAATCCCAAGGTACCAGCAGCTCTATTCTGACCTGACATTCCGGGGTGGACCTCTGAGGTCAGAAACACTGGGAGAACCATCGATCCATGATCCCTTGATGAGCGTTTCACATTCCGATTTTGGAGTTGACACCACAACTGACACCAGTTCACTGACGTTGACAATTGTTGTTTACCATGTTGAAATCTGTTCCAAAAACTCGTACGTTTCCTGCCTCCGACTCCATGGTTCCCGGTAAGGGGTTCTGAAGGGAATCTTTTTTTATTGGGACAACCTCAGGGAGGGCGGTGAAAGCCAACCAATTTCTTTCGTGGTGAAAAAAACAACATGTCACCACCTCTCCTCCGAAGTTGTCCTCGACGAGGTCTGGGCTAAGGTTGATGTCATCAATCTCTTTCTTTGTTAACCATACTTATTGGATCTTATTGGTATGTATAAATTGATAGTAACAATGCTAGTAAGATCAAATAACCATAGGATATGGATGGACATGGATTTTATGGTTGGCTGTTTCTATCGGCTGTAGATTCCCTTCGGACCCCAACCGTAGTCACCGCGGGCGTCACCGCGCCACTGAAGTGGGCGTCGCTTGAGACGCTGCGGCTGCGGATAGAGGGTCCAACTGGTGCAACTCGGGCTCAGGATCCATGACTATCTCAGGAACATAGTGGATTTACCCATTGAAAATTGTGATTTTCAATAGCTATGTTAAATTTCCAGAGGGTATGTACACATGTGTATCTGTATAAACAGTATCTAATTGGTGGTGAAATAACCATGTTGAAAAATGATGGAGTTCGTCAATGGGAAGGAATATCCCATATATGGAAATGGACATTAAAAAATGTTTGAAACCACCAACCAGTATATGTTATATAACGGGGGTCATAGCTAATATGGAACTAAAATGATATTAGTTATAACTAATTTATTATTAGTTCTTTTAATATAAACTCGGGGGTTATAACATGTTACAACTAATATGTTTATTCATGTCACATTATCCCACTATAGTGTTAGTAAAGCAATAGGATCCACCATCCCCAATTTTACTATTTTTATGGGCCGTAAAAGCTATTAATCCATATGGCTGGTTTATTGTTGCTTTACTAACATTACTGTCGATGGTAGCGAAATCCTGCACCATGAAACACGGTAAATCATGGGATTATAATGGGATTTTTGCCCATCTACAAACTGGTGCCGGATTTCTGTATCTAAATTTTCAAAACCATAGCTATTTCTGAGATAAAACAAAGTTGGTGAACAAAAAAAAGGCCCCAAGAATAGTTGAGCTAGTCAATTTCTGTGACCCCATAGGAGAACACATGATCTCATCACCATAACCAGCAATGTGAGGTGAGCAGTTGGATTCGTCGAGAACACCCAACATAGAATGACAAACTGCTTGGTGGTTGACCTACCCCTCCGAAAAAACATTTGTCAATTGGGATGACTATTCCCAATATATGGAAAAATAAAACATGTTTCAAACCACCAACCAGTAAACTATCGGAACTTGGCTTATCCCAAAGCCCACTTTCAGACACAGCCACGTCAGCCCGGAGTCAAATCAATAAACACGACTTGACTTTTGTGACTTCGTCAGCGCCCGCATTGTTTGTATGGTTTGTTTAAGGGGGGTTGCATGAAACAAACTATGATATACCATCTGGTTATTTAACATAGCCATGGAAAATCCCTTATAAATGGAGGTTTTAATGGGAAAATCATCTATAAATGGGCCATTGTCCATGGCTATGTTAAAAAAACAGAGGATAAAACCAACTCGATATACCCTCCTGCAAACGTTTACATAATTATGTACAGATATGATGAACTGATAAACTAACAAAAGATACCAATGATTAACTATTATAGGGGGTAACACTCATTTGGCATATAGGATAGACACACAAATTTGGCATGTTGATCTGGGCAAATTATAATAATTCATCAACCTAAATAAGGCAATTTGGGGATAGCTGGCCCTTACTAATTACTATTCCAGTGAGGGAGAACAGTGAGGTCGTTATAATTTACCCAGATACTGTGTATATATATATAGTATTATAATCCATATATCATACGATATCATTATGTACCAT